GAGGTGTCGAATCATTCCCAAGAGCGGCTAACGCCTTGCAGATAGGCAAGACCCTTGCGGTGGAGTGCAGCCGAGCTGGGCGGGTGGACTACCCTCGGTCCCACAGGCGTCTTGCGTCCACAGCTTGGCATGACCTGCTGGCTTTCACTGTGTGTGCACTGTACGTTTTTTTTTTTTGTTTTTTTTTTTTTAAAATAAATAACAACGACAAACAAACTGGGATTAATTTTCATGTTGTTTCTTCTCTGTGTGTGCGCAGCTGATGGCGGTTCGCGTGCGAGTGCTACAGTCGCTGGTGCTGGCGCTGGTGTGCCTGTCTCTGGTCGTGTACTCGTCTTACTACGCGACTGCCTCGGGACCGTCGGGGCCGCCGCTGCCGCCGCAGGCCGCCCAGCGCGCCCCGGGCCCTTGTGAGTTGTACATGTGGTACTCGCTGGTACTTTATGGTACTATTTATAGCACTCGCTGGTGTACTCTTTGTGGTACTCTTTGGTACTTTATGGTACTCTTTGGTACTTTATGGTACTCTTTGGTACTTTATGGTACTCTTGGTACTTTATGGTACTCTTTGGTACTCGCTTGCGTACGCTGTAGTGTACTCTATGGTACTCTTTGGTACTCGCTTGCGTACGCTGTAGTGTACTCTATGGTACTCTTCGGTACTCTATAGAATTGCATTTAAAAACCGATTTTATTTCTGTGTTATTCTTGCAATGTATGGTTTTGGTTTTGGTGCTCGAGGATGCACAATGACCCCCGTCCTCCTCTGTCCCGCAGCGCCACCGTCGCTGAGCCCCGCCGCCGCGGCCCCGAACGCGGACGCGGCCGCTAGCAGGGCGAGCAGGAACGCGTCCACCTTGCAGGAGGGTGAGTTCGACGGGGCATTTCAATAAGTACTCACGTAGCCACGCCAAAACAAAACGTAATGTTAAGCCACATAGCTAAACAAGAGCTGAATTGGGGAAAACTAATTATGTAGCCAAAGAGTTAGCTATCTCGCTGTAAAATCAAGCTATCTAGCAATAAAATCTAGCTATCTAGCAACAAAATCTAGCTATCTATCAATTAAATTTAGTTACCTAACAACAAAATTTGGCTATTTAGAAACAAAATTTAGCTGTCTAGAAATAAAATTTAGCTATCCAGCAACAAAATTCAGCTATCGCTTGGTGACCAACAACCTGTCCGTGTTGCAGACCCGCTGAGCAATGGCTCGCTGCTGGTGGGCGGCGTCAACGCGTCCACCATCGCGGAGGAGGTGGGCGCCGTCATCGTGGGGGTGGGCTCGGTGAGCCTGGCCAACGGCGGCACGGGCTTGGGCGGCGTGACCAGCCGGGCCGCCTCGCCCAGCGGGCCCGCCGCCCCCGCCGCCCCCGCGCTCCTCAACACCCCCGCCGCCGCCGCCGCCTCCGGGCCCGGGGGCGGCGCGAGGCCCAACGCCACCCTCAGCACGCCGGCCCCGGCCCCCAGCGGCGG